TGCTCTGCCCAACAGGTTCTCCTAGGACCTCCTCCTCTTAGAACACTTGTGATTTTATGGATTACAACCTACTTGTTTTCCTATTTCCCATTCCACCCTTTGGTGAACTCCTCAGTGATGGTTTTGGCCTTTGCACTGAAAAGCTGATTTCTGGTATAAGAGGCTTAACTACATTTCTGCTGAATATAACGTTCTGTTTATTTTCCTTTGGGATATCCTGTGTCCTTTGAGGGAGAGAATTGACTTCCAGGCTGAACGCTACCAAGAATTCTATCCTCTGTAAACATACTCAACCTATACTCACATATAACTTTAAAACATCTTTAAGCTGTCTTTTAAAGTTTGTAAACAGAAAAATGGCTTAGTTAAATCACAGGGAGGTATACAATCTAAAACAGACAGAAAGAGAAATAAATATATACTGTGCTCAGTCATAATAAACATTGACAGTTCAGGCTGAAGTATATCCATCATTCACTCAACATATACCCATGGGCACCATATGTGATCACCCCTATGGATGGAAGGCAGTAGAAGGCGTACTGCTTGTCCACAAGAAGGGACTGTTCAGTTAGAGAGACAAACATAAACATGATGACTGACTACAATTTGGTAGGACAAGTGTCATAATACAGCCATGGAAAAATAATCTCGAAGACACAGATAAAAGATTGAACAATTCTTACAGCACAGGAAGCTGGTCTCAGGCAGGGGTGCTGAGTCAGCCAGTCTGAGGAAAACAGAGTGAATTGAAGGGGCCTTCACAGGTCAGCATTGTACTTGACTTGCAAGCTATAAGAGGCTCCCTTCAGCTCAATTACAGAGTCTACCAGACTCATCAAACTTGAGCTACATCATGTTGGAACGCTTGATCAAACTTTAAGGATCCCGATTTTCTAGAGAACGAGAACATCTATGAGGTGCTAGATAATTGTCTTGAGAGTTCATAGGTCACCATTCCCATGTCGCAGGACACTCCCTTAACAGTGTGACAGGAAGGCAGCAACATCTGTTTTCATGTGACTACACCGTGATACATTGAAAGGGACAGGCAGTGGTTTAGTGCAGCCTGCGACTTGTGAGGAATTTCATATGGAGAGAATTCTACTCTGTGGTTCTGAAATTAGGAAAGAGAGGAAGTTGCTTTTATTACTGTGGCATGAGAGGCCCCTCTGCCCTCCATACCTCTTTTTCTAATTTGTAACCATTTCCTGACTGCCGTTCCTGTTGCATGCTTTTTTCATAAGCTACCCCATGCTTACATCAGTTAATGGCTAGGGCTGCACTCTCTGAGCCTGGAGCGGAGTCCCTGCACCTGGGCTCATACTACTAATAGATCACCTAGGGCCTGGTGATGGCCTGCGAGGACAGCTGGAATGGCTCAAACCTCCCCCCGCCACCAACTCATCTGTCATGATTACCATGCGTTGGGGGTTTGCCTGGCTTGCTCCACTCATTTCCTTTGTCAGCATGACTAAGATCAAAGTGCAAGTAGGATACATAAATGATAACCTAGAACTTTGCCCAAACACATAGGCTACGATCTGGGTGACATCTTCCATCATACTTTCCCCACAGGCACGGAAGGAAAAGGGCAAATTATGTTTAAGTATAGCCTTTCTTGCCCAGCCACTTTCAGCCCCGCATCCCCACCTCACCTCCCTGGCTTTGTTTCCTGAACCCATCATAGTTGTATTAATCAATTGGTTCAGGGATTTGAGATTTCCTGGCCTAATCACAGGATTGGGGAAATCCTGATTTCTGTTTATATGAAACTGTGGCTGTGATTGCAGACCTTGTACCTGGCTGAGCTTGCATCTTTCCTTCCCTATTCAGAGTGTCAGATGGTTCTGGCCACTCTCCTGAAGACTGGGACTGAATGATCTTTGCATGTCTGTTGAGCAGAAGATAATTTACTTGCAGAATGTATTTTTTTAAATAATACTGACAAAAACTGTTCAAAATGGTAACAATAGTTTATGGAAATATTTAGGCAGGTAATTATTACTTTTGGAATTGTGCTCCCGATTCAAAGGCAAAATACCTTGCAGTGCGTCTGAGTTTACTTTTGCCATGCTGTATACGTTCTCTCTTCAAAATGAATACGGACGCATTAAAGAAAGGATGACATGAATTTGGGGTATGGGTGCAAGTTAGGGAACTACTAGAAATTAACTAAGAATTATTCCTTCTGAAAATAACATTCAGATAACACAAAGGGTATTTAGTTAGCAAAATGTATATGATCTCTGGGACGTTGTCTCTGAGTGTTGCATTATACAGAATAGACATGAAAAGTTGCCGTTGAATGCTGTAGCCCTCGGTCAATGCCATTGAACGTGCATGTTTTCTCTATCGAGATAATTTTTTATTTTTTATAATAATATATGAGAATTTCTCCATGAATTTACAGAAATCACAGCTCATCCATGTGATTTCTTTCTAAATACAGATATCTATATATTGATTTGTATTTATATATGTCTACCCTTTACACACATACTGACAATCATTAACTTATAGTAAAAAGCTAAACATGTAGACTCTTTCCACACCATCTATCTCCTTTCCTAAGCTGCCACATTGTGTGTGTATGTGTGTGTGTGTGTGTGTGTGTGTGTGTGTGTGTGCACAAGCTGTGCTATGTTTCAAATGTTCTGTTTTCTTTCCCAGAAACTATTGGTGCATTTTGGAAATATTGAGAATGCCCCAGTGCTAGCATCCCCCATATCAGATAGTGGAGCAGCCCTGCCCTGGGAGCTTAGACAACTCAGATTAGATCTTCCCAGTGGGCTAACCAGGCACCTAATGTCTTTCTGTTTCATCTTCCTCACCTGTAAAATGGCTATCTCAAGCAATGACATTTAGGAGGATTAAATTAAAAGAGCTAATGGGTGAAGAAAAATTGCTTAGTGCATTGAACTCTGGCTCTGGGGTCTGCAGATCTGGATTTGAATCTTATTTCTACTTTAAAGCTGTGTGACCTTAGGCATTGCATTTAATTCTCTGTGCTCAGCAATAAATGTTGTAAGGCATATAATTAGCATAGTGCCTGACACATTATAAGCACTCAATAAACACTTGATATTAATGTTAAATTGTAAATCTGTACAGATGATAACTTTTTTTGGTGAGCTGATAATAAGATAATACCGAATTCTGATGGTAGATGGTTTCCCTAAATGTAACAGCGGATATAGAGAGTCTAGTGGCATGTAGATTGTCATTTTGTTCATTCAGAACCTGCCAACTCGTTAGGGAATCAGTGTATTTGTAAGTTTGAGCTAAAAGTGTGATTGGATATATTTTTCTTAAAGACACCTGGAATCATTTAGCTCATCCATGTTTTAGAACAATTCTATGGTGAATGTGAGAGTTAAACAGCATTGTATAGTTGTAGCTTCTCTTACTATGTTTTATTGTGTGGATAATTTTACAGACGAGGTATGTTTCATTTATTGTTATCTACAGTCTGCATAAAAGTGTTCCCTTGACTTCCCCTAGACATGTGTTTGTCATATACTGAATTTATGTCATGTATGTCAGAGTTTCTCATATATTTTCCTCCTATCAACAGTTGTACTTCTGAGCCTAACAGATTTTTCCTCTTCCAGCATCTCTCCTTTCTAATCCATTTTGCAAAACTTGACAATCATTTACCTAAAGCATGACTTCTGTTTATTTCACTCTTCTGCCTAATGTTTCCTCATCCTGACCTTAATGCCTGTCCCCACAATCATATGTTCATTTCACCGTTCTGCATATCCTGGCCCATAAAACTGCTATTCCTTCATAAATTATTCTTTAATATATTCACAGCCACTACTCAACAGTTTTTGTGTAGGAAATATCTTGTGTCCTATATAGTATTTGACATATGATCTCAAAGTAGTGCAGCCTGCCCTCGTTCTCTTTTGACCGGTATTTTCTGAGGCAGCGTGGGTATTTATGAGCCCCCAGAGCTGGACCAGTTTCCAAAGAAAATGGAAGATCAAGAACTCCGAGAACTTCCAGGAAATGGATGGGAAGATGGCCAGCTCTCAGTGGTCCAGGCTGCATTCTCTGATCAATGAAACCCTTCCTATCTGTCGTTGTCTTTTTCCACTGAATGGGTCACATGGAATTCTGAGCTCAGCTTGTTGTTCACAAAAGTCTGCTCTTCAGATGACTGTCCCTTCATCTTGTCTAAACTTCCTTCTCATTCCTCAGTGTTATTCACTCCAGACCAGGAGTGTGGAAGTGTGATGCTGGGTAGGCAGCCTGGTTCCAGGTAACCTGGTGCATAGTGCTCTGTTGAGCTTTCACGGGCCCACGATCTTGGGTGTGGTAGAACAGTGTCTCTCGAACTTAAGCAGGCATCAGAATCTCTTGCAGGGCTGGTTAACACATAGCCTGCTGGACCCCACTTCTGAGTGTCTGATTCAAAAGTAGGGTGTACAGTGTGGGGCCTGACGGTGTGTATTTCTAATACTTTTTGGGGAACTTGTGACAAATTCCAATATTCCAACAACATTGTAAGGAAGTACAATATTGCTGAGTGGTATGATTGTGAAAGTGCTCGATATCTTCATATCTCTGTGTGGCTGCTCATGTCTGAATGTTCTTGCAGGCTTTCCCCAGGTCTTTCCATTTACAACATCTAGATCAAATACTACTTCTTTCATGATGTTTTTGTGACTCCTTTAACCATGCATAAAGCATTTGCTGTTACTCTTCTCTCTAACTTCTTTGCAATGTATTTGCCCCTCTTATAATATTTATCACCATGTACCCTACGTAAAGTATGCTTGTCTTTATGCCAATACATAATCTTCTTGAAGGTGAGTGTATTGGTCTCATTCATCTTGCTTCTTTGAATGCTTGGTACGGTGCCTTATATGCAATACATATTGTTGGCCTTGTGCCCAGATCCCTCGAGTCCACTTTTTCACCTCTGTAAGTCTATCTGCCACCTTTAGCACACTTTGTTCCTAACAACTTGAACTTGTAACTTTCTCCAGAGGACTGAACTTGAATACTGGAGCCACTTCACTCAGACATATGGAAATCTGGGATTGTCTAGAAGTTTGTCTCCACAGCAGAGTTATCTGCAGTGTTATGTTGCAGAGTGGTGCAGCAGTATGAAGGCCCTGTTTCCTTGCCTTGAGATGGACACACTACAGCTTTCTGCAGGATCAGGCTGAGGCAGACCCTTCAGACCCTTGTTTGGATTCTTCCCCTTCTTGGCCCCACTTTCCTTATTCCCTTAACTGATTTCTCCTGGGAGCACTTCCCTAATAAATCGCTTGCACACAGACTCTTGTCTCATGGCCTGCTTCAGGAGAACTAGCAGGTGTTGTGTGAATATTTGCAGAATGAATGAATGCTTCAAAAGGAGTATAGCATAATAGGAGCATGGATTCTGTAGCCAGACTGCCTGAATTTAAATCCTAGTTCTACCACTTAGCAGCCACGTGACTTTGAATAAGTCATCTAACTTTTTTGTGCTTCAGCTTTTTTATTCATATACTGAAGCTAAAATAGTACTTTATATGGGGTTGTTATGAAGATTAACTAAATTAATACTTTTAAAGCCTTTGGAACAGTTTCTGGCACATAATAAGTGGTAGTTTAGTGTTTGCAAGAATAGATTAAAAATAAATGCATTAAATGACATTAAAAACATAAATAAGTGGAAAGACATCTTGTGATTATGGATTGGAAGACTATATTATTCAGATGATGCTACTACTCAAAGTGATCTCCAGATTTAATGCAACCTCTATCAACATCCCACTAGTGCTTTTTACAGAAATTAAATACCCATCTTAAAGTGAGCTCAAATAGCCAAAACAATCTTGTAAAGGAACAAAGCTGGAAGACTAACACTTCCAAATTGCAAAATTTACTTCAAAGCTATAGGAATCAAAACAGTATGGTCTGGCAGAAGGATAGGCATATACAGACTAATGTAATAGTCTATATATTATATAGACTATTCTATATTTTACCCCACACATACGGGGTAAAAGCTGAATTTTAAGCTAGGTGCTAAGACTATTCAATGAAACAAGGAAAGTCTTTTCAACAAAAGTGTGTGGAAAACTGATCTCCACATGCAAGAGCATGAAATTGTATCCTTACCTTAAGAGATAAAGGTATAAAACTCTTAGAAAAAAACATAGGGGGATGTCTTCATGACATTGTATTTGGCAATGATTTCTTGGATATGACATCAAAGACACAGGCAATTAAAGAAAAAATAAACAAAGTGGACTTCATCAAAATTAAAAATTTTTGCACATCAAAAGACACTATTAAGGCCAGGCATGGTGGCTCATGCATGTAATCCCAGCACTTTGGAATGCTGAGGTAGATGGATTACCTGAAATCAGGAGTTCAAGACCATCCTGGCCAAAATAGTGAAACCTCATCTCTACTATAAATACAAAAATTAGCTGGGTGTGGTGGTGTATGCCTATAGTCCCAGCTACTCAGGAGGATGAGGCAAGAGAATCACTAAACCCAGGAGGCAGAGGTTGCAGTGAGCCAAGATCACACCACTGCACTCCAGCCTAGGTGACAGAGCAAGATGTTGTCTTAAAAAAAAAAAAAAAAGACACTCTCTTGCAAAAGGACAACTCACAGAATGGAAGAAAATATTTGTAAATTATACATCTGATAAGGTATTAAGAACCTCTATCAGTCAACAACAAACAACTCAATTAAAAAATGGTGAAAGGTCCTGGATAGAAATATTTCCAAAAAAGATAAACAGATGAAAACAGGTCAATAAGCAGATGAAAAGATGCTCAGCATTATTAGTCATTAGGGAAATGCAAGTCAAAACACAATGAAATACCATTTCACACTCATTTGATGGCTATTACAAACAAAACAGCAAACCAGAAAATAACAGGTCTTGATGAGGGTATGGAGTAATTGGAACCCTTGTGCAATGTAGGAATGTAAAATGGTGCAACCTCTGTGGAAAACAGCTTAGTAGTTTATCCAGAAGTTAAATATAAAATTATTGTAAGATCTATTAATTCCACTCCTGGGAATTACTCCCAGAAGAATTGAAAGCAGGGACATGGATACTTGCATACCAGTGATCATAGCAACATTAGTCACAATAGTCAAAAGATGAAAACAACTCAAATGTCTGTCAAGGATGACTGGATAAACAAAATGTAGTATGAATGAAGTTCTGATATATTTTACAATATCAATGAACTTTGAAACATTATGCTAAGTAAAATAAGTAGGGGCAAAGGACAGATATCATTGGAATTCCACATATATGAGGTGCGTAGAATAGGCAAATTCATAGAGATTGGAAATAAACTAGAGGTTACCAGGCTTCTAGTGGTGGGGTGGGGAGCAAAGTGAGAAGTTGTTTAATGAGTAAAGAGTTTCTGTTAGGGATGTGTAAAAGTTCCGGAAAAGCGGTGATAATTGCACAACATTGAGAATGTACTTAGTGCAACTGAATTGTGTGTTCAAAATGTTACTTTACCACAGTTTAAAAAAACATGAATTCTGGTCTTGCATTTTGTTATTCCTGCTCTGCCTCTGGGACGTTGATATAGGCATCACTAACGCTGCTTTTCTCTCTCGTGCGGGAAGTTCCTGTGAATTGCCTATGAGCATTTAAACAATATGCTTGGATATCTATGAATTTTCTATGAATTTTTAAACATCCAGTTAAGAACAGAGGAATAAAAGCACTGTATACAAACATGAACAAATAAAGGAATGATTAGATTATTTGAAAATTCTTTAGGTTTACTCATAATTTGCAATAACCCTGTGAGTGCAGTGAGTCCAGTTTAATTATGGATACCATAAAGCAGTCTGAACCTAGAGTTTTCTTCAGCTTTACTGCTTATGATTTTATAAAAGCACTCCACATGGGTCCACTTGGTTTGAGCTTATAGGCGAATTGGTCTCCAGCCATATGCTCCATCTCCTTATGTGTCACACCTCTCCATCAGAGCTGAAATGTTCCCCTGAAGAGAAACTTTTTAAAAGCCCACAAACTCCAATTTAGCCTTTGGCAATCATTGTGTTGTGGTGTTTGAGTGTTTTAGACTTAGTAATAAATAATGTTTTAAAACTTCCAATGTTGTATGTCTTATTTGTCGTGCTGTTTGTATCTATGGGCAACAGCCCTGGACATGACAGTCCATGAAATGCGATAAAGTCAGGTTACGATTGTCCTACCTGTCCCATAGCCTCACATTTCCCTCATTTTTATCATAAATGGCTAAACGAAATGAGAAGAAAGGGGATGAGAAAGTGTATTGGTTTGTGAGACAGTGTCCCTCCAGGAGGCAGTTGGTAAATTTGGCTAATCTCTATAACCTTTACTCTGACACACTTTTACATCCTTGTTTTCTGTACTTGTATGTTATTATCTTAAAGACTTCTTGGTTTTCATCTGGGAAGCCCAGTACTGTGGATATGTGGGACGGAGAACTGACCCATTTAAGTATATTTCATTTATATGAAATTTCATTAAAGAGAATGCATTAGCAACAAAAGGCCAAATTCCATTTAACAAGAACTTTTGAAACTTTCACCACTGTCACTCTTATTTCAAACAAAACTACTTTAAGTCTGTTCTGGAATAAGACAGTGTGTAAAGAGATAATAAAATATGTTAAGCTAATGCAAAAGTTTTGGGCTCTGGATATGTAATGATATATTTTAACCTTTTCTATTTTGGATTCAGATCAGGTCTTCTGTTGTGGATCAATGGTTCCTAGGTGAAGGGTAGTTCGCTATGAATCATCCTATTTAAAGCATCTTGTTGCTAGTGGTTCTGTCCTTGAAGAGTGTAAGTATAATACATCTCCCCACCTTCTCTGCATGGAGTTAGCTATGACAAGAAATGAGTGGCCCTAAACATACAGCTAGGTTTATCACATGAGCGTGTAGCTGATTCCCACTGGTTGAACATCCGAGCATTTGGAAAGTGACATGCATGCACATATATTTACATGCACACATCATATGCGCATGCATACATGTTTTTCCCTCTACTTTTTGGATGGAGAAACTTGCAGAAAATGAAATGTCCAGTGGACAGAGAGACAGTAAAAAGAATGGCATGGGATAAAAGGCAGCACAGAGATGTAACTTGTAAAACTAGTTTCTTCTTATTTCCTTTTCCCACGGAAGACAAAGAACCATTCCTGCCTAGGGTTAATAGTGTTAGAACATATTCCCTTATGGCAAACACAGAACTCCTGGAATATCTTTTAGGAATGATGTATCTTAAGGTGAAATCCGATACTCCAAGGATCTTAGAGTCCTAAGTAGAAACTATACTGATAGAGACAAATTGGTTATTTCCACCCAACCCTCCAAACTTCACTGTTTGGCTTTTATTGAAAATTGAAAGTATGTCTTTATTTATTTACTTTCATTGCAAAACTTGTATGGTAAAAGTTTGTTGATGTACAGCGTATCCCCAGAGGGAAATTACTAGAACTAACAAGACTAGGAATATTTGTTTTCAAGTGGATTTTTAAATTGACCTTGATAGTTTTCAGTGTTTCTTAATTAGTGTTTGCAAATCTGCTGATTTTACGAAAAATCTGTTTCTTGCTGTATTAGAGTATAGCGTCACCACAAAATTAGCATTCCATATGTTGTTTTGTTAAACATCCTTGGTGACTCTCTTTAAATCCTTTTGGGAAATGTTTTGAAATTTGTTGAAACAAATATGCAACACTTGAAAATAAATGGTGATTATCACCACATTGTTCTTTCTTAAAAGCATTGCCTGTGTTTGCACTTAGTAGAAATGCTATCACTGAACACACATCCTTCAGAAATTACTTATGAGAGGGTAAGGCCTAATACAAGCCTTTTTACACAGATAAGGAAAAGCAACTTGCTGCAGAATTCTAGCAATGCCATGATGCTCTGTGTAATAATACATAACTTTACCAAAGGCTGGAGTGGCAAGTCTCATGTATAAAAGACTTTATTAGATATTTTTCCTTCCCTAAATGGAATGAGCAAATTCAGCTTCCTTTTCCTAAAATCTCCTTCAGTTCTCTTAAGTAGAAACAGAGGAACGTATTTCATCTGAAATTGGAGAACTGGGTTGCATCTCATGGTAGTATCACTCATTTTTAACCACTTATTGAAACTGAGAGTCCTGTCTGTGTCTTCATTTTAGATTTAAGATTTAGTCAGCCGGTATATTGAACACCTATTATGTGCCAGGCATTGTGCTTGGGGCTAAAGTTGCTAACAGGAATCAGACAAAAACAGTGGATTCAATAACCCTACTTTGAGGGCATTATAACTCAAGAGGGGAGATAATTTGAAGCAAAAGAGGGCTTTGTGGAGGGGTTCAGGGATGATTCACCAGAGGTGGAGATGCTTAAGCTGAGTCTTAAAAGGTGAATGCCAGTTTATCTGGTAGAGAATGCAGGATATGTCACACCACGCTAAGTGACTGAGGTGTAAAGACTGAGGCACTGAAGTGTAAAGTGGTGTAGAATGCTGGTGTAATAGCAATTTCTTCAGTGGGGCTGGAGCATGGGGTTCGGGACGGGCCATCGGGTGTAGATCTAATACTTTTGTAAAGCTATATGGGTGTTTTCTACTGTGCCGAGGAGACTGAGCTTCAATTTGTAGGATTGAGAGACTGAAGATTTTTGATAAGGGACAGAATTGATCAATGGGGGGAAAGTGGAGAGTTTGAAGACAAAGGTATTAATTAGGAAGCTGTTCTAATAGCCTGGGAGATGATGGTAAGGGCCTGACCTAAATCATAGCTGTGGGATCTATAAAGTTATCCTGTTTAGGTCTGAGAGCTAGGAAGAAGGATCAATTTCACTCTAAGGAAAGAAGGGTCAGATAGAAAGAATGATGATGACCTCCATGGTTTGTGGTATGCAAACCGGGTGCACAGCCACACTATCTATTGTTAAAAGAAATGGTAGACATTTTAAAAGGAAGAAAACGAGTTCTGTTTTAGACATGTTTAATTTGGGGTTACAGTGTAACGGATCAGAAGTATGCATGTTGGCCTTGGTTCTGATAGTTGAAAGATTTTCTTTCTTTCTCTCAGTGGCTTAAGACTTCTACTTTCTATGAGGTAGGGGTCTGAGGAAGGGAGAGGGGTTGAACTCCTGCCCCTCTTCCTCCGCCCAAGTAACAGTGGATCATCATGCGCATGCACGTACCCCTGAAGTGCTCTTTCCACATCCCATCCTCCTCCCATGCTTTCTTATCCGCAGGTGGCCAAAGAGAGGAGCTTGTTGAAGACTCCCCTTTCAGCTGTTACTTTCAGTTCATCTGTCATGTTGTTCCATTTTCATACTTTAAAATTTGTAAAAAATTTTCCTATTTTCTTCTTGCCTGCTTTTATGACAGTTGCCTCTTCCTCCCATGCTCTACCAAAGGTGAAATAGTTCAGATACTGTCTGTTCTTAGAAGGGTTTGACAGTCCTTTGGTACTTGGTTTATGTGGTTGCCTTCTAGGAAATGCTAAAGAAAAGTCATTATTTGGGCTGAGTGTGGTGGCTCATGCCTGTAATCCCAGCACTTTGGGAAGCCAAGGCGGGAGGATTGCTTAAGCCCAGGAGTTTGAGACCAGCCTGGACAACATAATGAGACCTTTTCTCTACCAAAAAAAAAAAAAAGAGAGAGAGAAAGGAAGAAAAGAGAGAGAAAGAGAAAATAACTGGGCACGGTGATGGATCCCTGTATTCCCAGCTACTTGGAAGGCTGAGATGGGAGGATTATTTGAGCCTGGAAGGTCAAGGCTGTGATGAGCCATGATTTTGCCACTGAACTCCAGTCTGGACGACGGAACAATACTGTCTCAAATAATAATAATAATAGAAAGGAAAAGTCGCTATTTGTAGATTATTTGGCCTTTTCTTATTGTTAGGACTAGAGCCTCTTATGGCTTTCTGCTATCTAAGTGGCCTAAGTGGGAGCAGTACTTTCTCTGTGAATGAATTTTATAATTAAATACTACCAATTATTTTAGAACATGATCTGAAAGGCCTACTTGTGTACAGCTGCTGGCACGTAGAGCATACAAAAAACAAGTCCCCCAGAGATGCCGAGGAGACAGACACAGATATAAGTCCTTAAAAGTCCACAGCAGAATGAGTGGATATGTACATACAGAGAAAAAAGTAGCTAGAAGTAAACATACCAAAATATTTCTTATCTTGGGATTGTTGAATTGTAGGTGATTTATTTATTAAAAACATGCAACATCTCAAACAGTAAGCCTACATAACTTTATAATCAAACAACAGTCATTTCATAATAAAACAATAATTATATCTGTAGGGTAGAGGAAAGGAATATACTTGAAATTGCTCTTAATAAGATTTAATTTCAATTTATTCTGTTTAATTGGCTTGTTGTGAATCAGAAACTCAGTTCTTTTTTTACTGGAAATATGTCTGTCCTTTAGATCACCATTTGATATCTTGACTGAGAAGAAAATTGTATAACCTAGAAAGGGCTGAATATTACTGAGCCCTGAGACCTGGGTCAATGACAGCTGTAATGTGACCTCTTATAGGAGAAGCTTGGCCTAACTTATTTTACCCACTGAGAGAAGGAATCAGATCTCCCTAATGGCAACTTTCCCTTTCTGCTAGTGAACTGAGCACTCTAAAAGATCTATTTAGTACTTCAGAGCAGGCTTTTGTATACTGAGAATGAAGACAATTTTGCTGTCTCCAAAATGCCCAATATTATTTAACCTTGTCTAGATAAAAAGCCCTTGCTAACTATGTTCTCATCTAAGTAGCTCTGTCTCCAATGTCCTGTCCTCCAGGAAGAATGGTAATCCAGGATTGATAACCACATCCTTCAACTAGAGAAACTGGATTCCCAAGAAGTGCTGTAGACACTGAAAGTATGTTGTGGGTGTGGGCAGTCGTTATTACCAGAATTGGCTTTCGACAGTTGAAAAATAGGCAGAATTCAGCTTTATTTTCTTCTCCTTTTAGTAGTGTTCTCTCAAGTTTTTACTATTACTCATCCCCTCTTGAGAATCCAATGGATAACTTACCCCTTAGATCTCTTTTTGTCCAGACACTTAAGAAAGCTCCTTTCTTTTGATAGTTATGTTGGCCAAATCTGTTAGTCAACTAATTCATGGGACACACTGATGGCTTGAAGTGGCTAAATTATTATACTGCTCAGGTATATTCTGCAAAGTAAAGGGAATATAGTTTTGATTAATGGTAGATAAGTTTCTGCTGCGGCACAGGTTGTCACCACCATTTCTTATACTAAGTCATCTTTTATTTTCATTCATTCAAATGTCTTTATTGAATATCATTTATATACTTAGTACTGTTTTCAGCATTGTGCTTTATTTTAGATGGAAACCCTATTCATTGGACCACCCTAGTCATTGGACACCGTGATTATCATGACCCTGTTGTGCTCAAATCCTCCGATGTGTTTCCATCATGATCAGCACGAATTCCAGGGCGGAATGATCTAGTCCTATTTACTCCCCTTATCTTATTTTCTCTCTCTATCCAACCTTCTCTGCTGCTTCAGCCACACTGACCCCTTTGATGTTTTCAAGCACACTAAGCAAGCTCCTGCTTTGGCATGCTAGTATTGCCTGTTATATCTATATGGAATATTCTTTTTACAGATATCCGTGGGCCTTAATGGCTCTTTTTATATGACTCTGCTAAAATGTCACCTCAACAGAGAGGTTTCTCTTGATCACCATATTTAAGTAGCATTCCTCATATATTCTCTGTTCTCTTTCCTTGCTTAATTTTCTTTGTAGCAATCAACAACTGGCATATCATACACACACACACACACACACACACACACACACACACACACGAATATAAGCTTCATAAAGTCAGTTATTCCTGGCCATAATATATATTCAGTGTATAGTATACATAATATACTCTATGTGTGTTTGTTGAATGACTCTGCTTCCCATGGAGTGTCTACAATGTAGTCTTCTTAATCTTGAGTTCTTATCTTCTGCCCAACACATAACCAAGTAAACAGAGACAGAATATCATTACCACACCAAAAATAATAATTAAGTAGATTCAATCATATGTTCTGAGTACTTAACACAGATACAATTATTATTAGATCTACACATTCCTTTCCTAGGAAGGGCCCTGTTTGCAGGACATTTGGCCGTTGTGACTTTGGTATGGCTCTGCTGTTATTTTTACATGGTGTTAATGTGTTCCTGACATATTTCAAAGACCAGGCTTGTCATTTACTTTGAGGGGTCCCATGAATTTCTCTCTTACACTTTTCAAATGAAATTTCAGAATTGAATCAAATTTATTGTTTCAATCAAAATGGATTTGAATTACAGATGTCTGATCCCTTAAAAACAGAGCTAAAAAAAGAAAGCTTCCATCAACTTCAGTTCTTCTTTGCTTGTCTGCTACAAACCAGAACCAAGGACTTTCTATGAGACTTTAAAAATCTTTATTATGTTAAAAACATTATGCATATTAAGCTAAACACATTATATTTGCTTATATTTGAAGGTTTGTTTCATCGAGGAAGTTGTATAATCCATGAGCAAGTTGTGGATGCTTTCTCAAAATGTGATTATAGCTCATAAAAGTGGTTTTAATTGACAATTTTATGCCATGGAGAGCCTATAGCAATCTTAGATGCACATACCTATATTTATATCTATAATTTATTTTTAAAGATTCCCTATACAACACTATTTTGAAATTACTAAAGGAGTTTTCCTTCCTTTTTGTTATTCATCTGGGTAACCTAAAAAAATATTGCTGTTATATCCAACTGTTGGCACTGTTGCAGGCAACTAAAAGCTTAAGAAAATTATTCCCTCGCCTGTCCCCCACAAAGCCACATCTAAAAAGGTCACAAAAGGAAACACACAATTCAAATAATCTCCATGCTGTATCTAAGATTAACTTGGACACAGATGTTTTAACTTACAGTTTGATCTGGCGTAATATATACATTTAACAAAATCCTGTTTTGTATTGCCTCTATAAACACTGACGTCTGATAAAAGTGTATTGATTTTTCTGCTGTTTAAGAGCTTTTGAACTAGTGCTTAAAGCAGGTTTTCTCCAAGGCCTAAATTAACTCTTTCAGCCTTTGACTATGGTTTCCATGTAGGAGTTTGTATGTGCCTTACAAGTATACAAGTATGTGTTTGTTTATGCTGGTAATGCATTAGAATGACAAACCATTTTGTGGTCTGCAATATTTTACTCAGTAGGGACAATCATTAGACTTTGTTCTTGATTTTTTTCTTAGAAGTTTAAATGATTCAATGCTATTCATTACTGCTCATTTTAGAACCACGCTGTAATCATTATAGGCCTAGATATTATCTGAAAAGTTAGTGAATAGGGGATTTCTTCTAGCACTCTGGGCATTTCAAGGTGGACATCATTCCTCCTCCTCCCCATCCTCTGGTCTTTTGTCCAACCTTAATGTGAGGGCTCTCAAAAAAGTGGGAACATCCATCCAGTTTAAGTCTGTCTTGCTTTCAGAGTTGTTTTCACACTCTCTTCTTTGTTGGCCAACATTCTAACATGTCACAAGTTTCTTTTCTTACTTTGTGTGGGAGCACAGAGCCACACAATTGCAAGTAGGCTTCTCTATGTAAACTGTGTCTTTAGACTAGGTACTTCTTGGGGAAAAATCTCCAAATTTAAAATAGCAAAAGAAATTTCAAATTCAGCCTCACCACAACCTTCTACGGAAGGTCGCTGTCACATGGAATCTCTTATGATGGCATACAAAGAAAGGCCGTAAGTTATGTAAGGCACTAGCTCACATGAGGGCTTATTAGACTTTGTGTCATTTTTAAAAGTCTTCAAATGAATGATACCAACTGAGTCTCAGTATAACTTGGGTATTTTATTAGATATCTCATTTTGCAAATGATGACATCATATCTGAGAAGGGATGAGTGGTAGAGGCAAGAACCTAAATTCTGCATTTTTTTTTTAACCAGCCAGAAAGATATGTGTCTCTAGCTGGATATAATGGAGAAACAAAAATTTGATTCAACAGAAAGCTAGTTAACTGGCTATTTGTGATACCACATTTCTTAATTTTTAAATTATTCAGGTACATAGTAAACATAACCTATAACACTGATAAGAATATTTCTTTATCAGTAAAATACACACACACATGCACACATGCACCCCTCAAGAACAGGGGACAAAAACAGTTTTTGTCCAAACTAGAAACCTATAAGGTTTTGTACAAAGGACTGATACCTTAAGATCTTTCTCAAATAAAACTTATAGAAAATGAAAACTGTTTGAGTGCTTGCTATAAAAAAACAGCTTTCAGGGGAATTTGCTCCTCAGCTCCCAAATACTGCCTCTTTCCTGGGACAGAGCTTCCAAATACACATGGACACCATAGTGGTCATTGGCGGTAACATGGTCTGTGCAGAGCATGGACAAGAAGCATGACTTGTCCAGACATCTTGCCAGAAAATGACATTGTAATGATGCTATGGCTCTTGGGAAACCCAGTACAGGTAAAGTTAATATTTATTATTAGAAAGATGATGGAGATGTTTTACATATTTTCATAGAGATTTTATTTAATTTACATTTTATAAAAGAAAAATATCTTTCTTTAGTTAATAAGTTCCTTTAGTGAGAATTAGAAGCAACAATTAAGCTAAGAGAGCAGCCTCCCTCTGAAGGATTTGGATTTGAATACTGGCTCTGCTATTTCCTAGCTGTGTAACCTTGGGCAAGTTCATTGTCCTTTTTGAGCTTCAGTTTTCTCACATGCAAAGCATAAATAATAATACCTACCTTTAAGGATTGTTTTTAAGATTGTAGAAATACATGCATTGGCCCGAGGTAACTTTTTAAAAATCAAGTACTCAATTTATGTGGAGAATGGGACTTTGGATCATTAAGAGCCTCATTGCACTTTTATGCTGCCAAGGAATTGTTAGTCCTTCACCTGAAATACGAGTTAGCAGGAATGAGATGTAGGGGACAGGGATTTTAGATCTTAAGAAGATGAATCTAAATGTAGGATGTAGGAGATCCTAAGGAAACACTTAGTCTCTTCTTTCCCTCCCATGGTTACCAAACCCTTGGCAAAGAAACTGCTCCCCTGATCAGTAATGTGTGAAGTGTCATCCTTTCACTCAATATCTTTTCCCATGTGTTTTTGAGTTGTATCTACTCATTTTACCCACCAAATTTGCTTTTATTATCTTCATCTTTATAGAGCCAGCACATCTCTACAGGAACTAGCTGAATCTGATTCTGCTTCTTACATCCCTGACAAAACTGTCAACTTCATTTCCATCACAAAATCTTGGTAGCTCTTAAGGGTGTCACAGCTCAATGTTTCCCATCCCAGGTTGAATTGGCACAGCTGGGGCAAAGAGGCACTGCCTTAAGACTAAAGAAGTGAGCAACTTGAACTGACAAATAATTGAGAAAATACAAACATGGGTTTAAATTTCTACTGTAAAATACCAATTGTCTCAACATGGAAGGATCATAAAAAAATAAGCTTTGACTTAACTCATTGATAGTTGAGAGTTACAGTATAAAAAGCAACTAGCCTATCTGTTCCCTTTGACCTGCGGGCTATTCTGATGATAATCATTGCATTAAAAACCTTTAAATCTTGTTAAGCCTTTGATTCTAACCTAAATGCTAAAGTTATTTTTTTTCATTTAATTGATTGGAAAATTTGTTAGGAAAAATGTATGCAGTTATTCTCTCATCAATCTATGAAGTGTGGTATCCAAAGTTGATGTTATGCGGCTTGCTACCGTGAAAAGGAAGGCTGCATTAGCCACATTGTTAAAAAATCGTGTCTTCAAAGCAAAGAAAATGAGAGTTTCAAGAGAAATTGTCTATTAGGGGAGTGGCTCGGTGGTGACTGCATTATATTTTCAAAAAAAAGAACTTTTTTAGTTACCTGAAGTTGACGCTCCTTTTTTCCTTCAGACAGACTTACTTTAAACAGTTTTGGTGGACATATTAATCATTTTGCTCTTTGTTAGTTAGAACATACTAAAACTTACTTTTCCTGAAGGACATAGGATTAAAGTATTTTTTCATTTATTTATTCAACTGATATTTGCTGAGTGCCCATGCACTAGCAGTTACTGTATAAACGGAGTCTTAAAGAAAGGAGGCCCAGCCATGTCAAGAATGGGGAGAATGGAGCTCCCAGCAGGGAGAACAGCATGAGCTGTCCCTGAAGTGGGAAAGCACTTGGCAAGTTTTGCAGAACTGAAGAACAGTGTGGTTAGAGCTTAGTGTGAGACAAGGAGAATGGAACAAGAAGAGACTGGAATGCAGTTAAACGCAGAGGGACTGTTAATGTACATGGAGCGATTGCCCTTAAGTTAAAATGTCACTAGGCTGCTGCACATCTTCTGATACATGTGATGTATTTGTTTTGTGATGTTTCTGATGTCTTTTCCCCAGTTGCTTCCTTCATTGTGTTAATTCTTTGACTTTGCAGGAATTCTAAAATCTGAGTCTAGTAGCATTTCCTTTTTTTCTTTCTAAATAGTCTTCTATTGGGCTGGAGGATTTGATAGCCCCCCTAATTAGGATTATGTCTAAACTAAGAGTAAAACAGGCATGAGTTTGGAACAGGTACACTCTCTGGGCAAAAACTGTAGGCTTTTTTTTTTTTTTTTGAGATGGAGCTTCCCTCTTGTCACCCAGGCTGGACTGCAGTGGTGCGATCTCAGCTTACTGCAACCTCCGCCTCTTGCAATCTCCGCCTCCTGGATTCTAGTGATTCTGTTGCCTCACCCTTCCAGTAGCTGGGATTACAGACACCTGCCACAATTCAGGGCTAAAAAGCTTTAGGCTTTAATAAATGTACCACACTCCTTCTGGGCCTCAGTTTCCTTATCTGTAAAAGCAGACTACTGATCAAAATACCACATAAAGGCCCTTTCAATTTGTAATTTTACTTACAATAAAAGATCTTTAAAACATATTGCGTTTTATTATGCTTGCCCTTGACATATCTTAATTAACTGCATGCATTAAATACTGTTTAAAATAACAGCATCCTCAAAACATTAATATTGACCAAAGTAAAGTAAAAAATTGAAGTATTGAGAACTACTGTATAAATGAGATTATTTATTCTATTACATTTTTTCTTTATCTGACTATGAAATTTGTTATGAGAAAATGTGAACTCAAGTGCAAATTAGTTTTGAGTTCCATGTCTAATCATTTCTTAATTTGGTGAATGCATGTCATTATTTTCTTATTCCAAAATTTTCAGTTCTACATTTTCTGTACACAGGAGTGTTACAATTGTTCATGAACACACAAATATTATCTCTGAAGGGAGAAGCTGTTGCTTTGGTTTTCCTGTCAACAACAGCATTTGCCATAGTATTTTGAACAAAATAAATGCTCAAGAAAATGTTGTTTGAATGAATGCATCAATGAGAAAAATTCCTTGGCTTGAATCTGACTTAAATATTTGCTAAATGGATCAAGCGCCACCACCGAGCTACTTTTCTATCTTCAGAAAAATTTTTATCAGGCACCAGTTACTTAAAAATAAAGCGTGAATCTGCGGTATTCTTAAATTCTTTGGGATTATGTAGGAATGTGTAAAATGATGTTCAAGAGTCTCAGGGGAAAAGGGTTAGTAAGCAACACTTACATAGAAATGAAACTGTTTCAGACAGTGGTCAACCTCAGCAAAGTATTTGCAAAATAGCAATCGAGTGACTGCTCTCCTTTGCTTTGGGGGTCAGAAGCTGTCCACTTACCTTACTCCTCACTAATTGCAGGGAGGGATGAGTGGAAAGCAGGGCACTGGACGAGTGCTGACAGCTGTCCCAAACATGGCGTCTTGTTTCCTGTGGGCCCAGGTCTGCTTAGCATTATGCAGTGCTTAGGTTCGTTCGTTGTGGTCAGTGTTTGCTGGGAGGTGTATGAGACACTGGCTTTCCAGGAGGAAAACTCCTGGATATTTTTATACCAGGCATACAAATTTGAGTGCGGAAAATTGATTGTAAAAATTCAGGAGGGAAAAAGAAAATTTTTTGGTGTGGCAGCAGGGAAAATATTTCTTTTGCCTCCCCAAAGAAAAAGAAATTCTGCAGGGCTCAGAGTTTGTATATGAAAAGAGATAAATTCATTCCTAGAAATATTTTGGTATCACTGGCTCTCAGGTGGCTCATGTTCCATTCATTGGTGGTCAGAGCTTTCTGGGAGTTAAGGAAGGAGAGGTGAGGAGTTCGAGGGGAGAACCTCACATATAAGCGGGGCACGTTTCGTGTGATATAACAATCACTGAGCCCCCTAGCAAGTAGTGGAAATTATGTATTAAATTAATCTGTGTCTAACTTTAATGAGGATTATCTTCAGTTTAAAAAGCAAAAATGGAAAAAAGCATCTGGTGAAAAATCCTTCACACCTCTGGAATAAATTTATGATTTTAATCTCATCATATTATCCTAAAGTTTAAAGTCTTAACTTTTTCTTAGGAATAAGCAGCTAAATTGATGGTGCGTCAGGTCGCTACTGGCTTTCAATTTCAGGGATGCTGTGGTGAATGAAGGATGAAAGGTGTGTCTGAGAAAAACTTGAGCCTATCTAATTATTTCCAAGTCAAATTGTGTCATTGGTAGCATCCACTGCGCCATCAGACTCCTGAGAAAGAAGAGAAGACAGGATACATGCATGGAGGCACGTGATTCGTCTTGAAGTCGTTTGTCCTCTGAATTATTTGGAGAGCGGGCTGAGAAACCCTGGGACTAAGGACGTAGGGTAGAGTAATAAAAATGCACCCTATCACAATGTCTAAGCACAAATATTCACTTTTCGTTTCAGCTTAAGCTGTGATCTCTCAAAACTGCTTGTTCAGCCTTTCTTAATACCAGGGTAACTTAAAAACAAATCCCATCTTCTACCAAAACTGCTTTAGGAAGCAGCTCCTCTGGGCCCTGGCTTTGACAGGATTCACTCTGAAATGGTCCTGTTTCATCCAACCAATATAGCAAATCTGTTACTTTTATAACAGAAGAATCTGACAGGATTTTCCAGAGGCCAGCTGTGGATCTTTAGATTGTCGTCATGTTACTCAGAACAGAACAACTGTTTGAATCAAAGCCAAAGATGTCCTTGAATCATTTGGTATCAGGGCACTAATGAGCTCTGCAGACATTTCAGATTCCTTTTCCTTCCCATCCCTTCCTCCCCATCCACCTTACCCAGGTGTGACTTAATCCAGTCTATTTTTCCCCTAAGTAATAAGCTGTGACACACATACGCTCATGCACACACATACATATAGACATAAGATTTATAGGTGTATAATCTGTTTTGTATGGTGAAGTGAGGTTTCAAAACAGTGGTTTTTCAAGAGAAGCAGCAGAATTTTCATTGACCTATTTTAATTAATAGATAGGTAGAAGTAGAGCTTTGATTTTCATTGTGTTCTATAGTTTTTAGAAATGACAAGTTCCTTAATGATCTGTTAAGCCAACTCTGAGTTTTTGGAGATGAGAAAACTGAAGCTCCGAGTTTGAAGAGATTTACCCAAGATCCCCCAGGTAGCATCTGGTAGAGCTGGACTCAAGCAGGTTATTGAATACTGGGTTCTTTTTCCTCTATAGTACACAGTTTGAGAGGCTTATTCATGTTTCTTACTTTCTCCATTTTTCTTGTGCTTAAAACTGTCTGTTATAAATGGGCAAGTTTTATTCACCTATGATGTTTCTTTTTCTTGTTTTTCATGGCAAATTGATGAAATTGTGTTATTCCGGAGTCATGTTATATGAGCACATGTAATTTCAGTCTGTTATGCTCACTGTTCCCTGCCTCCTACCCCACTACATCTGGGTGATGAATTCCCACTTATAACCAGAGCTCAAGTCCTCTGTGAGTCTCTACGCAAAACAAAACCTCCCCTGGATACTCACCTTCCCTCACCCTTGGCAACTGCTCCTCTCTCTACTCCAGCAAGACTTTGTATATGGAAGCATGAGCATTCCTACATTCTATTGTATATATTTATTCATTAGCTTACCTCTTTTTTATCCCCAGTTCTACAACATTGCAAATGAAATTCTTTATAGAGCAACCCCCTACATAACTTAAGACTGTTCTAACCTTTATTTCAAATTTCATTTCTGAAGATGTATTATGTCATCTTGAAGGTGGGCCTCCTAGTTTGCTGTTATTCTTGTTGTTGTTGTTTTTGAGCCAGAGTCTCGCTCTGTCACCCAAACTGGAGTGCAGTGCCATGATCTCGACTCACTGCAACCTCTGTCTCCCTGGTTCAAGAAATTCTGTTGCATCAGCCTCCCTAGGGATTAACCACGTCTGGCTAATTTTTGTATTTTTAGTAGACAGGGGTTTCACCATGTTAGTTGGGCTGATCTCAAGCTCCTAACTTCAGGTGATCCACCTGCCTCAGCCTCCCAGAGAGCTGGAATTGCAGGCGTGAGCCACTGTGCCTGGCCAAGCCTGTTAGTTTAAGCTTCCACAAGATTGTGAATTAGCTTCCTACTTTTTAACCAACATTTATTGAGCATCAAGTACTGTGTTACAAATAACCCTGCGGCTTGCTTTTGCAGACATTATCCCATGAAATATTCACAATAATCCTGGAGAGTTAGGTTGGCCTAACTTATGTATAAATACAGAAACAGAGCAGAAAGAGGGTACATCTTTTGTAAAGTCTACTGAGTATCTACATCTGAGATTCAAACTCAATCATTTGAACCAGTGTTTAAGATCTCTACCCCTCTACCCTGCATCCCTCCTTATCTCATTAAGCAGATTTTTTTAGTATGCCTATACTTCAACAAGATAGAAGCAGGATTGAGGGGGAGGTGTTGGGAGAAGTTTTGGAGTAAATTCTTTGGATTGTCTGCCTCAAACATACCCCTCCAAAAGTCATCACTACCAATATGAAAGTGTAAACTGTTATACGTCTTAAAGAAGAGGACTCAGGCTCCCTCGGCTCTCTGGTATTGTTGCCTTATTTACTGTTTATCATTTGTCTGATTTAATTTCTTACCAACATTACTTTTTGAAAAAACTAACCACTGAAAGATAGTTGCTAATTATCGCAGAATAATGAAGAAGAGGGGATGGCATATTCAAATTACTAGTTGATTCAAAATGTAGAAGGTGATGTCTGATAGCTTCCTCCCACCAAATTCTTGTCAGAACTCTATTTAACAGCAAACATACATTGCATCTACTTTTTCCTCTCACATCTTTTAATCTCAGAATTTCTTTTGGTTCATTAAGTGGCAATATGTAAAATGGTAAAAGAAGCGAAAAATTTCTTAGGTTTCCATCACTTGTACCTGAAGAATTAAGAGTTTTATGAGGTTGGGTATGGTGGCTCATGCCTGCAATCCCTGCACTTTGGGAAACTGAGGTAGGAGAATCACCTGAGGTCAGGAGTTCAGACCAGCCTGAACAACATGGTGAAACTCCATCTCTCCTAAAAATACAAACATTAGCCGGGCATCATGGCACACACCTGTAATCCCAGCTACTCGGGAGGCTGAGGCAGGAGAATTGCTTGAACCGGGAACGGGAGGTAGCAGTGAGCTGAGATCATGCTATTACACTCCAGCCTGGGTGACAGAGCAAGACTGTGTCTCAAAAAAAAAAAAAAAAAAAAAGAGTTATGTGTAACCATGTAATGCTTCTCCCATGTTGTAAAAACTAGACAGTATCACTGGGTTGTGCCAAGTCAGCCCTTTATAATTCACTGTTGCTCATGTTTTGCATCTATCATATCAGTTAGTACTAAAAAGTATAACACAGGCCCTTTCATTTACATAAAATAAAAAATAAGACTCATGAAGCTTATTGAGCTTTTTAAATAACTCAGCTCTAGTGGCAGAGCAGGAGTGCGTTTAAAAGCATGAATGAAAAGTGATGAGAAGTATTTATCTGTTGATAGAACAGCAGCAGCCTGAAGGTTGACTCTTCCTGTAGCTTTGAACCATTTGATTGCTATTTGTCTTCTCCCTTTCAACTGTCAAACAAGGGAAGCAGGTTTTGTAAAGGCAATAGAGAAAGAAAGGGAAAGGGGTCTTCCCTCAGCAGAGGAAAATGTTTCTTCGATTTGGTTTGCTTAGAAGCTATTTTATCCCACCAAAAGGATAAAAAAATCTCTCCCATGTGTGGAGAGCAGGGAACATGTAGTCAGGGAAATTGGAGGTTCTTGGAGACCTAAGTGTTAATGAAGAATTATACATGTAAGTCTGGCATGAAAGGTAGGCATGGAGCATGGCTGTTCAAAATGTAGCTACTGGTCAGAGCAGTCCAGCTGGTAAACCCGACCAGAGGCAGGAGTTGCCAGGATTGTCTTTGATTTGTATAGGCAACGACTTGGCTGAGTTTTGTTAGAGCCATTGTTTTCAAATTTTTTTTTTTATCATTTGAACTCTTTTATCAAATAAAATATCAATATATAAAACAGATAGTAGCAGAGGTGCTCTGGTTGCAGTAGGGGAGAAGGCCTGCCTCCTAAGCTTCACCTTCCCTCTAGTAGCAGATGCTCAAGCATCAGATTTCCCCAGGAAATAATTCAGAAACAATACAAGGAAAAGTGATTGGTGAGATCCCTTATCATCCTATTTTTGGGGGGCTATAGGGAGTGATGCTCAGACTAGCATAGCCCCAGACCAGAAGCATCAGGATTACTGTGAACTTCTTAGACATGCAAATTCAGAATCCAGATCTCTTAGGTGGCGCCCAGCAACTGTGTTTTAATAAGACCTGCAAGTGTCAAGACCACCAAAGTTTGAGAACCATTACTAGAGCAGTAGTTCAGAACTTAAGCTTTCTCAGATCCATTGTGTAACTGAATCCTCAGAGAAGCAGGCACCACTTGCAAGGATGGAAACACCTATGAGAGAAAATGCGGCAGGAGCTGGAAAAGACTGCGAGAGCTACTGAAATTCATGTATGTCTACTCTGAGTAGAGGAGAGATGGAAGGAAATTGGGTGGAAGCATCCCTATTAGTTCTAATATCTGGGCATCTTGTAATTGGTCTCCATTATTTGTAATTTCTCTTGCAAATGCCATATTTTCCTGGACTTTTTTTTCCTGTGGCATGTTGGGGGCAGTTATGTAGAGTAAATTTAGATTGGTTTCTAGTCATGAATGATCTTTTTCGTAGACTCTGTATTTTGATATACTCCCCTGAAGAGTGCTGTTTTTTAAAAATAGTCATTTCATTTTGCTGGACTCAAACTGTCCAGCAAAAGAACTAATCTTGGCTGAGTTCTTTTAGCTTTAGCTATCAGTGCTATGTGCACATCACAGGGTCAGCCACAGTTGGAACAAAGTTTGTAGACTCTGCATTTTGGGCTGTCTCCTATCTGGAATTTCCCCTTTGCTTTCCAGTAGCTGTAGTGTCCTTGATTTCTATTCTCTGGTTCTAGTAAGACTGTGCTTTTTTCATGGGAGTTTTATTCTCCTCTCATGGATCTGACCATTTTTTGTTTATTTCTTTATTTTTTGCTTTAAGTATCTTATGGTTTGGTATATTTGGATTCTTTACTGGAATGTGTATGCATATGTAGATATTCATAAATTATGCCTTTATTATTATCCCTTTCTTTAGTGTTTTGTCCTCAAATTTTACCTTATTTTGTTATTAACATTGCTACTTCTACCTGCTTTTTATTTGCATTTGCCTATCTCTTTACTCATTTATTCATGTTAAATCTTTATTGCTTTAATTTTTAAACATCTAATTTGTCAATCTTTTAAAAAATGAGATAATTATGACCATTCACGTTTATTTGACTGATGATATACGTAGGAGCGTTTTTCTCCATTTTACTTTACACTTACTATTTATTTCCTTCTTTTCTCTTTAAAAGTTCTTTTTGATAATTCCCTAAAATTGCCTTTATTTATTTTATTGCCCTTGTTCAATGAGTTTTCTATTCCATTAATGGTTGTCTTTACTTTCCATTATTCATAATCTTACCCACATTTCTCTGTTCTCACATGGAATCAAGAAGTTTCTTCTGCCAAAATGCTCTATTCTTGCAGGAAGATACATAAAACCTATAGAAAACCTTTTCTATCTATTTCTCTCTCCCCATATGCTTACCCCAAATTCCTAGGCTGCACTGAGGTAGTATATTTTAAGTTATAGAGAATATTAACATTTCTCTTAAGGTATGTCTGTTTTGTCTCAGAAGTCTTTACTTAGCATGCATTTTCTACATTTTTGGATAGTCTGTCAGTGTATCATTCCTAGATTTAATTATATGTGCATAACATGTGCATATGTATATATGTGTATCTATATTTATTTCTCATTAATGTCTCTTCCTTGCTTAATCTTCTCTTTTCTTGAGGCCTCTGTTCGTATCTATTATTTCAATAGAGTTTTTTTTGAGTATTTTCTTTAGATGGATATTTGCGTCATTTATTAAATGAATAGTTGCATACTAAAGATTTTTTTTCAGGTCTGATAATTGGTGGAGGATCTCTGGTTTGCAATTCTTTAGATAATCTATAGGTATTATTTTGCACCTTCTAACTTCCACATTTGCAGATGAGAAATTTGATATGTATACATGTCTCATTCTTTTCTCTTCCTATAAAGAAATTGTTCTTCCAACCTGGAAAATTGTGAGATTTTGTTTTCAAAACTTTGAATTTCAAGAACTTTAGCATATGTGCTCAACTGTAGTTTATTTTATTTTCTTTATTTATTTATTTTTGAGACGGAGTTTCGCTCTTGTTACCCAGGCTGGAGTGCAATGGCGCAATCTCGGCTCACCGCAACCTCCACCTCCTGGGTTCAGGCAATTCTCCTGCCTCAGCCTCCTGAGTAGCTGGGATTACAGGCACGCGCCACCGTGCCCAGCTAATTTTTTGTATTTTTAGTGGAGATGGGGTTTTACCATGTTGACCAGGATGGTCTCGATCTCTCGTGATCCATCCGCCTTGGCCTCCCAAAGTGCTGGGATTACAGGCTTGAGCCACGGCGCCTGGCCTCAACTGTAGTTTATTATAAATTACATTTAAAACTCAGTTCATGTAATCCCAGCACTTTGGGAGGCCGAGGCGGATGGATCACGAGGTCAAGTGATCGAGACCATCCTGGTCAACATGGTGAAACCCCGTCTCTACTAAAAATACAAAGAATTAGCTGGGCATGGTGGTGCATGCCTGTAATCCCAGCTACTCGGGAGGCTGAGGCAGGAGAATTGCCTGAACCCAGGAGGCAGAGGTTGCGGTGAGCCGAGATCGCGCCATTGCACTCCAGCCTGGGTAACAAGAGCGAAACTCCGTCAAAAAAAAAAACAAAAACAAAAACAAAACCTCAGTTCAATCTGTAGCCTAAGTCTTTCTTCCTCTTGAAGCAATTTTCTTTTATTATTGAATTGTTATGTTAGAGGGCTCCAGGATTAATCTTAAGATGAATTATTTTTCTCTCGTGATTTCTTTCTCTTTTTTTTTTTTAAATTTATTTATTTAACTTTAGGTGCATACTATATCTGACATTTCTCCCCATGTTATCCCTCCACATCCTCCCTTCCCTTCCCACCCCCGCTGTCTCTCCCCTACCCGCCCCCCCCCCCCCCCATTGCCCAGTGTGTGGTGCTTCTAGGCTACTAATTTGGCTCTCAAAACAGGTCAATCTCTTCTTCAGTTCACTCCTGTCGCCCAGGCTGGAGTGCAGTGGTGCGATCTGAGTTCACTGCAGCCTTGACTTCCTGGGTTGAGGTGATTCTCCCACCAGTTGTACTTTTTATTTTAAGTTAAAGATTATCTTTTCTTTTGTTTTCTTCAGTCTTCTGGTTAGGATACCATTGGTAGTTGTGTCATGAGAATGGTAGAGGGCTTATTGTCTCTGACTCCATCACAGTAACACTCAAGTAGAGAATTTCACTTTCAGGCATAGGAGGGCCTCTGGGTTTCTTGGTTCCACCCATATCCCAGCCTCAGCAGGCAAGCCCTCAGCCCACCTGTTTAGTCCTCCCCAGTGTCTTGGGCTCCAATAATAGGCCCAGCTTTTCAGAACAATCGCTCAGATTTGGTCTCCAGCAGAGCAAGAAAATTGAAAGGGGGGGATTTTAGTCATGTATCTACATAGTGTGACAGTCCTCCTGGTTTGGCTTGACCCTCCAAAAGTACTTGGTCTGGGGTGGGGCTGGGAATGGAGGGGAAGAGAGCTGTGTTAAGCGACCCATTTACAGTACTAAGGTAGCCTCAATGGCAAGACAGAGAACTTGGTGGTTTTTAATTATTTCAGGGAAATATAGCAAGTACACTTTAAAAAAAAACCTGTAAGTGGTTTTCTTTTGGCATCATATTATCAAGGTACTCTATTCTAAGGAGTTTCACAGCAGTTTAAGCCTTATGCTGATTTTCTTTTGCTTTTGATTGTTTAAAAACTATAAACATTTGTCTTATTCTTGTGCAAAACATGCCTTTCTACTGGCTTATACATTCGTAAAATCATAAGACTTTAATATTCATCCCACTGTTTAGACATTATCAACATATATTTCCTGATGAATTAATTTATTTATTCATTAATTCTTCAAACCAGTGCCCCCTTCTTTGTCTACACTGTAGACACAGATTTCTCCATTACTCTAACACATTGGTTCTCAAACCTTAGTCTAAATCAAGATCATGCAGAAGGTCTGTTATAACACATTGCGGGGCCTCAGCCCAGCGTTTCTGATGCCATAGGACCGTTCTTTAAGAACGACTTTCCTAACCCTGGTGACCAATTCTCCTCGTTTGCCAGAGACAGCCCCAGTTTTCGCACTGAAATTTTCACGTCCCTGAAAATCCCTTAGTCTTAAGAAAACCAGAAAGCCTGGTCACTTGTCTAACACACTTGACTGTACATTGAAAACTCAGGAGTACTTTTTGAAAATGCTGTTGCTTCCCACTCCTCACTCCTTCTGGCCCCACTCCCATCCCACCGTCTATTTAATGGGTTTGGGGTGTGGCATGGGCATCTGGAGGTTTAAAAAATGTCTACGTGATTATAATTAGAGATTTATTAACCACTGCTCTAATCACAAGGCTCATCCCTCATTGGAAGAGTTTGGTACTAGCTATTTTTTCACCTGGAATGCTTTTCCTCTTCAGTGGTTGGAAGTCCTGATTATTAGAATCAGCTGGGGAACATACAGAACATACCAATGCTCAGGCCCCCACCTCCAAACTCAGTGAAACTAGTCGCTGAAATGGGGCCAAGGCACTGATAGTCCTCAACTCCTTAGGCAATTCTCTTAGGCACCCAAGAATGGGAAGTCTTAACGATCTCACAGCTGGCTCCAGTCATTCAATGAAAAAGACCTATCCTTCCTATCCATGCCATTTAAATTCACTCCCACCTGCTTTCCCTGATACTTGTCAGTTTCTGATATTTTCTTCTTCATTTAATTCTGTTTATTTTTTCCTTTCCCAAATAGAATCTGAGCTCCATGAAAGCACGAGCTTGATCTTATTAGTCACAGTATTACCAGTTCTCAGGAGTGTCTAGAGCATGTAGGCACCCAATAAATGTTAATTCATGCCTTCATGCCTGCAGTGTATTGAGTACCATGCTTGGCTCCGGGGATAGCACAATAATGAACAACAACAACCACAGACAAAATAGTAAGTCCTTTCTGACTTTGTAGGGCTGACGGTCTAGCGGACTACTTCCTTTTTAAAAATAACATTTTGAGATATTCCATTAGAATCTCAGAAAAGTAAATGGTGAAATAAGTCGAGGGGAAACATTTCACCACATGAAGATTGCCACTGGCATCTCACCATTTCATGGCAGCTACCAGCATCATGTTTCCATGGTTAGATGCACTTAGTGACCTATAGAGACTGAAGTAACATTTCAACCCTGCCTTGTGACAACCTGAGCCATACTTTCTGGGCTTTGTAAATTGCTTCTGTTTTCACTGGCAACTTGGGGCTGTTGAGGAGCTGAGAGACAATGCAGCTTTCACCGCCACATGTCAGGCCCGCAGTGGGATCCTCCTGGGGGTCCAAGGACAGAGCCAAGTCTTGCTGCTGTGGTTGGGCGGCAGGAAATACTCTGGCGTCCTTCATGTCAGCTGGACACACACATGAAAGGACCCAGGAACGCAGAGAAAACATGTAAACAAGTGGACATCCATTTTTATGGAAACAGACATAAATGGTGTGGGGGTGCTGTAGCACGTGGGTGTCTAGATTCCAGAAGGCTTAGTCAGGAGACAGTGTCAATGCTCAATGGCAGAAATTTAAATGAAGGAGGAACTTCGTTGGGGAGGTCAGGACTACAGCATTGCAGGCTGCAAGAATGACACTGCAGAGTCTTGGGGACCTTAGCTGACATACGCAATGAGAGGCCAAAGCACATAGTCCTGGTACTGTTCTTAGGGAGTCCTACCTGGAACAGAGTAGGATGGTTTATGGATTAGACAGAGTCAGCATTTCTTTCTCCTCCTTTTCCTTCTGAAACAAGTCACCTATCAGGTCAGGTTTATTGTAAGATTAAAGAGATAACTGTAGAGTAACTTATCCAGTGATATGAAACAATCTGCATAGCCAGAGAGACGCTGTGAGGAAAGAAACCTCAACTTTTGCCTAGATTATCTAGATTTAGTATGTCTC